TCAGGCTGGTCTCGAACTCCTGACCTTGAGCGATCCACCCACCTCGGCCTCCCAGAGTGCTAGGATTACAGGCGTGAGCCACCGCGCCCGGCCAAGATTCACCTTCTTAATTCTCCAAAAGCTCTGAAGGTTGGAGAGATTGTTTTCAGCTTTGCAGAGTCCCTGTTTCTGAATTCTTGTATTGCCTGTACTTTTCATTAGCCAGTGAAAATTACATCACAGAGAACCTAGCCCAGAAGCTGCCTAAAGCCACAGTGATTTCCAGAACTGCCATTCGACACGAAGATTCCAAAGTCACATTAAAGGTGACTTGTCACACCTGTGATACTTTGCTAAACCCTTTAAACACAGTAGCATGATTGACACTGGCCGGATGATTCTCTGCAGTGGGGCTCCTGTGCATCGCAGGGTGTCAGGCAGCATCCCGGCCGCTACCCACCAAGTGCCAGTAACTGCTGCTAATGTGACACCGCATATCTGCATTTGACATGTCAAATGTTGCCTGGAGGCAGTCACCCCTGGCTCGGGAAGCTCAGAGGAGCCTGGTGGGTTCAGAGCCCTCTCTGGTGGACGGCTGTGGGTTTTGGGTGGTACGGGGAATAGGTTGGAGGCAGCCGCCTGGGTCCCAGCTCTGCTACAGGGCATTCCTCGTGGGCCAGGTGGCCTCTGCCTCCTCCTTGGGTGAATAGAGAGTTCAGGACTCTGAACAGCATCATGCTTTCTTCCCCAGGTTCCAGAAGCGGCGACTGGATAAAATCCGGCAGAGAAAGGAGGAAAAAGCAGCCGAAAGGCTGGAGCAGGAGCTGCTCCGAGGTAGCTCTTCCTGCAGCAGTGGTGTCAGCTGTGGTCCTGGTGGCCACAGGCCTGCTCCCCACCAGTCCCAGCTGCAGTGGGTACTTGCAGTCTCCCCTGGGGCCCATACCCCTGGACCCATGGACAAGTGGGTGTTCTGTGTCCTGGCCCTAGGTGGAGGGTGGGTGGACAGCCACGTGGGTGGGTAGGGGTTCTGGGTGCCAGGGCTGCAGTGGCTGTGTGGGCAGCAGTCCTCAGTTGTACTCTGTCCCCTCAGACACAGTGAAGTTCGGTGAAGTTGCTCTGCAGCCCCCAGAGCTGACCGCCAAGCCCAGGAGGAGCGTAGCTGGGGACCAGGTAGGCCGGGGCTGGTGGGAAGGGAGTCGTTGAGCTTGTCCCCCAGTCTGCTGCCAGGAAACAGGTGCCTTGGCCAGCAAGTGTCCCGTCTGTGGTGGGGCCTGGTCCAGGGCCCGAGGCCGCTAGAGCACTATGTTCTCACTGAGCGTTGAGCTGCTGGACCATGAGGCCTCGTTCTCTGCTCTCCTCTCCGAGCCTGCGCCTCACTGTACCCTCTTCCTCAGCCCGGCAAGAAATCACTGATGCTGAGGATGCTTCTGAGCCCTGGCAGTGCGCCCCGGCCTGTGACCACCTCGCTGGCCCGACAGCGGATCATCGGGGAGGAGAGGGAGCGGGTCGTGCAGGCCTACCGAGCGCTGAAGCAGCAGAAGCAGCGGCAGCAGGGGGTGCAGCCACCACTGCCGCCCACCGCACCTCCAGGAGGAAGCCAGAGACGCGGCCTTGAGGGGCCCGGCCCACACTCCTGGGAATGACACTGGGGCTGTCGCACCTGCAGAGACGGCAGATCCTTTTCCTTGGACACATTCTCAGTGCCGGGAGAGGTCTCCAGGTCTCTTCTCCCTTGTTTTCCCCCCAAAGCCTGCTCTTTCCTGAGTGACCATCGATGGGCCCATGTCCTGCATGGGAGGCTGCTGCCCTATGGACCCCACAGACAGGAGCCAGGGCTCAGCTCCACTCACAGCTTTGTTCCTTCATTCTGGAAGAAAAATCCAGGCTGAGAAACCACCCGGTTCCACTTTAGGGTGGGCCCAATCCCATAATCCTGTCCCTAAACACCAGTGAATGATGGAGACTGCTTGTTTAGGTCCCTCCCCCACCCACGGGCCTGTGCAGGGGACCGCAAGAACAGGCCCGGTGCTCACCCGCCAAGGTTGGCTGGATGGACATGGAAGGCAGCATTTACACCAAGGGGGTGGGAGCCAGTTGTCCCCACGGGGCAGGCCTCAGGCAGGTCCAGAGCCTGAGAGGCCAGGGGCAGGAGCCCGGCTTGGGGCTCCTGTGGTCAGAGGGCAGGGCCTTGCCAGGTTTCTCTCTCGCCCCAGCCTCTCCAGGTGAGGGGAGGAGGGAGGAACATGAGGCAGTGGAGGCCGGCTGCTCATCAGCCTCTGGGCTGCTGTGCTCGCCACTCGCGAAGCTGGTCCCAGAGAGGGCTCAGGAAATAGTCTCAGCCCGGCTGAGCAGCCCTGGCAAAGGGGTGAAGTGGCGGAGTGGTATATGATCTTTTTCTGTCCTTCCCCAACTTTGCATTTTCTAGAATGAAGCTTACTTTAAAATGAAAAAATGTAAATTAGGGAAGCTATATCTGTGGCCATGTTTCCATGTGATGAATGGTTCTGTCACCTCATGGTGTGCTGATGGGTGGCCCCAGCCCCTGCACTGGCATCATGGGGGTGACGGTCGCCGTCATAGTGGCCAGAGCTCACCCCCAGGCCTTGTGCAGCAGCTAGGGGTGGGCGGGGACAGGAGCGGCCATCGGGCAGCACTCCCACTTACTCGGTGGTCTGTGATGGTTTTTGGATGTCAACTGACTGGATTAAGGGGCACCCACACAGCTGCTGAAGTGTTACTTGACTGCTTCAGTAGCTCTGAGACTATCTATTTTATTTTTTAAAATTTTTTTGGGAGAGGGTCTTGCTCTGTCACCCAAACTAGAGTGCAGTGGTGTGATCATAGCTCACTGCAACCTCAAACTCCTGGGGTCAAGCAATCCTGCCCAGCATCCTGAGTAGCTAGGAACAGTGGCGTCCTCAGCATCTAAATCTTTCCAGAGATGCAGGACTGGATGGAGCTTCTGGGGAGTGAGGCCACAGGAACCTGCACTGCTGTCTTGCCAGGGTGCCTGGACCCACAGCTTCTGAGAGTAGAGGGCCACAAAGGCAGGGGCAAGGGCTGAGGCCCCTCCCTTGGGGGACAAGGCCAGGAGGGAACCCAGCACCCTTACCCACCCCACAGGACACTCCAGTTGACGAAGTCTCCCGACAAGTTGGGACCTGAGGGTTTTGTGAACGTGGCTTGTTGAAGGTGACCTCCAGCACATGGCCTGTCAGGGAGCAGGGGAAGGCAGTCTCACCTCCCTGGCTGGTGGCCACCCCTGCAAACCTATTGAGGCTCTGAGGAGCGTGGGCTCCAGCAGCTCTGCCGAGGGAGGATTTCCATCACAGGATGGGGATCCCAAAGTTCATGGACAAAATCAGACTGTGGCCTCTACCGCCACGGTGACCTAGGTTCCGTTCCCCACCCACCTTGGGTCGCTTCCTTTGTCCAGTTTTGACTCCTTCCTGCTCAGCGGCATAATCGTCAGCAGTCTCAGTGGAGCACGTGAACGGAGGGAAGTTCGGTGTCGTGCAGCAGTTTGAAGTAGAGCTTGAAGCTGCCCGGAGCCCGGTGGGTGGGGGTGGGAGGCCAATGAGCCTCGGCGGGAGGGTGCAGACCGCCAACCCAGGAGCCCGCAGGGCCTGAGCAGTGTGGCTCTGCCAGAGGCACCAGCAGCGCCAGGAACTTGCTGGAAACTGCACGCTGGGGCACAGGACAGGCTGGTCCAGACTGTCTTCAGAGGTGAAGGTCCCCCATCCTAGACAAATCAGGTGCTAGTGCACCGAGTTCCTGTGAGGCCAGCGTGGGCCGGGCGTGACTTCAAAAGGCCCTTGAGGCTCCCCAGCACCTCTACCTGCACCCGCCTCGTTCTGAAGATGCTGCCAAAAGGTGCATTGGGGGGCTGAGTGTCCTCCGATTCTGGAATACTGAAGGGGGCTTCTGGCCTGCTGGAGCTTGGGAGCCAGGGCCACGAGGGGAGACTCCAGAGCTGACGAATAGTGCCAGCCCACGTCTGGGATCCTCGTACCCTCAGCTGACAAACGTGATGAATTTTAACTCTGAAGAATCTCTTCAAACACTTGGCGATTTTAACCAGGCTTTGCTCAAGTTCTCTGAAACTGGGGGCTGAGAGCCGATCATATGGACCCCACGTTGTCTGTGAAATCTTCTACAGGGATCTACTGCTGGGGCTCGGAACGCAATACCCTGAAGTATGGCGCTTGGCATACTGAGGACTTGCAACTAAGGGAGGCTGGACAGCCTCAACTGGACCTGGACAGCCAGGTCTCTGCTCCTCTGCCCTCCTGTCTCCCGCCCCCTCTGCCCCAAAGCAACGCACAGAAACCAAAATTCTTCCCCAAGGCAGGTCAGAGAAACTAGGACTCCTCCCTCCAAAGCAAGCTGTCAAGCCTGGAAAGGTCACTCTCCCTTCTCCCTTGGAGACCCTCATTTGGAGGGGCCCCGCCCCACGCCCATGGGAAGGAAAGCTACACAGGGAGGCCCTGCGGGGTCCCCCTCAGAATATCAGCATTAGATCTTAGTTGTCTTTTTTTTTTTGAGACAGTCTCACTCTGTTGCCTGGGCTAGAGTGCCGTGGTGTCAGCCTAGCTCGCAGCAACCTCAGACTCCTGGGCTCAAGCGATCCTCCTGCCTCAGCCTCCCGAGTAGCTGGGACTACAGGCACGCGCCACCATGCCTGGCTAATTTTTTTCTTTTAGTAGAGACGGGGTCTCACTCTTGCTCAGGCTGGTCTTGAACTGTTGAGCTCAAACGATCCGCCCGCCTCGGCCACCCAGAGTGCTAGGATTACAGGCATCAGCCACCACGCCCAGCCTAGATCTCAGTTTTTAATCACATACATGGCTGTCCCTTCTTTATCAAACCTAAGAGTAAAAAAGTCTTTCCTGGGTCTTGGGTCTTCATTTCCAAGGACTCCTGTGTCATAGAAAACTTAGTTAAATGTGCCATGCTTTTCCTTGCTAACCTGTCTTTTGCAATAGGAGTGTGGGCCACGACCCTTATGACGGCTGAGGAAAGGCCTCACACCTTTCTGATCCGTGGTACTGATGGGACAGAGACATCAGGTGTCCACAGCTGCCTGTGGCATTTAGAGGCGGGCAGGTGGTGTATGAGGGTTTATGTGGCCTGGCACCCAGCAGTGGTGCAGGCTGTGTGCACAGGCAATAGCCAATGACAAACCCTCCCAATGACATGTGATGCAAGGCCTATGGCTTCAACCGGAAGGTGAAGAGATTCCAGCCTGAGCCACCCTGAAGTGTACGCAAGAGCTTTCTCCTAGTGTCATTTACAACCTTCCATTTGAATGGAGACTCTCCTCCCCTCCCCAGCAAAGTGGACGGCTGGATACTTCGAGGGAGCCAAAGCCCGGGGCCTGCTGCTCCAGCAGCTCTGTGCCAAGGAGGAATGGCAGGTGCACGGCCCTCTTCCGTGGCTGAAGGAGCCTTAACTGCCAGCTGAGACAGAGAGAACCATTTACAGGAAATTCACAACCACTCTCAGGACTACAGTTTCTTACTTAATTGCTGTAGGTCAGTGGTCCCCAAAAGGTATGTCCAAGTCATAACCCCTAAAAGGAGCAATGGTGGCCATATTTGGGAAAAAGTATTTGCTGATGTAATTACGAATCATCCTAGATTTCCAATGACAGATGTCCTTGTGAGGAGAGCGGACACAGGAGAAATCGCGTGAAGGTGCAGGTGGGAACCGAAGCTCTCCAAGGCACAGCCCAGGAATGCCAAGAATTGTCACAGCCACCAGAGGCCACTAAGCCACTAAAGACAGCCAAGGAATGGACTCTCCCTCAGAGCCTCTGAAGGAACCCATTCTGTTGACACCTTAACTTTGGACTTCTGGCCTCTAGAAATGTGAGAGGAACCTGTTGTTTTAAGCCGTCCAGTTTGTGGTCATTTGTTCTGGCAGCCACAGGACACCAGTGCTCTCTTGCAGGCAGCCACAGCTGAGAGGGGATGCTCAGGCAGGACACAGGGGAACCACAGCCACCACCTCCTGTGCTTCTCCTGAGCCTCCCCTCCCATACCTGTGCGAGCCCCTGCAACCTGGGGGCGCCTCGGCGCAACACACGTTCACTGAACGTGTGAACTGGTGAAAACGCTGGGTCTTGTTTCTAACTCGAGGCTTGTTTGTTACTATCGCACTCCCCTCATCCACCTCGCATCTGTGGGGGACACATGGCCAGGGTACTGGGAGCTCGAACACGTTGGATCATGTACTACAGGCCAGAGACCAGGCACCAGTGGTGCCATGCAGTCCTAACATCTCGGGCAAAGCCCTGGGGGTTTCCTGGCAGGAGGGGACCAAACCCCAGGAGCACCATTCCGGGATGGCAGGACACTCAGTCAGCCATCCTCCTCTTCCAGCCTGACAGTCTTTTCACTCAGAGGCTAGATGTCAGGAGCTTCCATATTCTGGGTGCCTCAACTTACCCTTCACTGCAACTCAGCATAAAGCCCTGTCATCTAGGGTTATGTTGGGTCATTCTGCCCCTTTAAGGACAAATCATTGGACAAACCAAGCAATTCCACCCTCTGTCTCTTTTCTCCACAGTGCTGGACAGCCACATTTCTCTGCCTTGTAGTCAACTGCTGGTTCTATGGGTGTCCTGGAGCCAGCGTAGCACCCCTGCCAAGCCAGTGCCTTTCCAGGCGCTGATTTCTGCCATGGCGATATTCTGCTTGGCGCAGGCAACGATGTCTGGGAGCCGGATTAATGACTTAATCTCCTCCATGGTCATGTAGCAAGGTAGGTCACTGGAGTTAAAAGAGTGCCCGGTCAGAATGGTGGCTGCCACACACCTGCCCCTGACCCCCAGCCACACCTCCTCCCTAAGGAGCCATGCTCCTGGCCACACTTCCAGGGAGCGCCTCCCTGGGGCCCCTCTGTGTTCCCTCTTGGCTCATGATCCGTACGTTTTATTGAAGAGTATCAAGACCGATGCTTCTGCAAGTTGTTCTGCGGAAAGGAGACCCAAGAGCTGCACACAGGACACAGAGAGCTGGGTGGGGTTAGAGGCATCCATCATGAACTGGAGAGGAAGAAAAAGACATCGATAACACCCTGTTGTGAAAGATGGTCCTTGTCAAACTTTCTCTCCTGGGCATTACAGACCAGACTCAGGAAGAATAAAATTACTTTAAACAAAGGGCTCTGGAATAGGCATAAGTAGAGAAAAATGCATTGTGTGGGATGACCTGGTGCCACCTGTTTCTGTTTTCACCTATATGGAAGTCTCCGTACTCACATAGCCATCATTCCCCATCCTGGAATTTGGGGCACAGGCCTTGTCAGGATGGGACCCAGAGAGATGTAGAAATCAAACAGAAACATGAAGACAAACCCAGGAGAAAAACACAGAGTGGGGTTGGTTTTCCGCAGAGAACAAACCCTGCCCTCAGCAAGCCCTGAGGGCAAACTCAGCCCTCAGCAAACACCAGAAATCAGTCTGAGTGCCCAGCAGGAAGCAACTAATGTAGGCTCTGTTTCCTTGACTAGCACTAAAGAAACCCAACTCCATCCTATACAAAGCGAGGGCTGAGACTAAACGGCACAGAGATATGAACATGTGTCTCTAAAGGAAGTTCAGAGGATTATGACCTACCAGGAGAGAATGGCAGTTTCCATAGTAACTGGACCAGATGGGGCCCATGCAGCCCCCCAGCTCCCGGATGGTGATTTTTCTCTGAGCCATGATGTCAGTAAGATTTGTGCCCACCTGGGAGAAAACCCGAGATGCAAAACGAGAACAATACGAGCGCTGGTCCGTTGGGAACTCCCGGAGAGCAGAGTGCCCACAACTGACACTGAGACCAAACCCCGGCAGGCCGCCCATTCTCCAAGGGCTCAGGCCCTGAGTCAGGACCGCCCTAAGATGCTTCCTGGCATCCAGGGCCCTAGCCTCCAGGGCTGGCTGTGGCCGCAGCACCCACGCCCACCACTGGGATTCGCCCTGGGGGCCACCACCGAAAAGAATCCCTTGGGAGAGGAGAGGAAAGGTACCCGCGAGAGGGCGACGGGCTCCGGTGCCCCGCCGGACACCCGCCACGGCCGCCGTTCGGTCCAGCGAAGGAGGTTCCCGCCCACCCTCCGGAGGCTGCATCCAGCGTCCGAGTAGAGAAGCCTGAAGCTCTTTGCAACCCGCGGCCGTCACCCATTCCAGTGAAACGCGCGGGAGGCGGACACTTACCGTGGGCCGCGTCGGGGGTGGCTCCCCTAGGTCACCCGTCCCATCCGGCGAGCTCAGCTGTGCGGGGCCGTCAAGGACCGAACCGAGCGGAGTAGCAGGGCGGAATCCCCGGCCCTGGGCGCCCCAGCCCCGGCTCCCTTCGTCCCCCGGGGACCCCAGCCCCGGCCACCGGGTGACCGCCCGTCCCGCCGCGGAAGGATATTCTCCAGTCGTTTCACCAGCAGCGTCTTCCCGACCCCCGAGGCTCCCAGGAGGAGACACATCCCGGCCTTTCGCTCCACTAGGCACCCGTAGCTCTGCGCCGCGACGCAAGGCCCGCCCTCGGGCCCGCCCTCATTGGATAGGCCTCTCGTCCGGACTGCTCATTGGGTCTCGGGGTTAACCGACTCAACTGGAACGGTCCAATCGACGCACAGCGCCAGGGGGAAAGCGTGAGGCCCCGCCTCTCGCGCCTCTCTGGTCGGCGCGGCAACGTGCGCGCGCACGCGCGGGAGGGGGGAAGACGGAAGCGGAAGTTGGGGGCGCGCCACCTTGGAGGGAGGGAGCGCCCGTGGCGTCGGGTCCGGGTCCGAGGTGGCCATGGGGCGAGGCAGTGGTACCTTCGAGCGTCTCCTAGGTAACGCGCCCCCGTCCGCCGGCCGCGGCCTGCGTCCGCCCGGCGCCCCCTCCCGGCGCTGAGTCAGCGCGGCCCTGCGGGTCCGAGGGGCGCAGGCCGGCCGCCCTGCCTGCCCGCCGCCCGGGCCCACCGTCCCCCGGCTCGCAGCCGCCGACCTCTCGGCCCGGGGTTGCTGGCCCAGCCGCGGGGCCGCGTCCGCCGGGCGTTAGCGAGCCTGGGCGCCCGGCCCGCGGGCTTCTCCCTCGGGCCCGCGCCGTCGGCCGACCTGCCCTGGCCGGTGGGCCGCGAGTCCTGAGTCACGAAAGGAGCTGACTCAGACATCGGAGTCTCCCCAGGGCTCCTGACCCCGAGGCCGGGCCCTGAAGGGCGGAGCCGGTCGTGTCCTGCCCCGGCCCTTTGAGGGCCGCTTCCGCGGGGACCCAGCTGGCTCCGGGGAGTGCCCCGCGCCTTAGGAAGGCGCTTGCTGTGTTTTGGACGTGGCAGCTGATCCTGAGCCTCTGGAGTTCACACGTTTCAGGAGGGAGAGAGAACGATTATGTGCTTGTCCCCCACCCCTTAGTGAAAGTGCGCTCTGGGTTCGGGGATGGGCGCTCTGGGTGTCTTTTTCTTAAGTGTGGTTTTCGAGGAGAGCTCAAATGAGACACCTTTCTTGCTCTGGGAACACGCAGGCTGAGATCTCAGGCTTGTGGGGTGCTTTAGCACCTTAGGGGTCAGTGCAGACGTTAACTACGGGAGTCAGTTCAGAAAGCGGAGACAGCTTCTTAGCTGGTGTTTGTGTCTCCCGGGAAGATGGTGTGGAGCTGAAGCTGTGGCCCCTCAGGGACCATTCGTGGGAGGCGGCAGTGATGTGGCAGGATGGGTGTTAGCTAGAGAGGCCTTCTTGGAGGAGGTCTCTTCTGCCTTGGTCTCCCACAGCACTTGAAGCAGAGGACTGGACTCCATCCCCAACCCCTGCCCTCACTAAGGCCTCATCAAAGGGCTGAAACAGCTGAGTGACCAGGGGCTCTGAGGGACTAGGTGACAGAGTCTTTTGTTGAGAAGCAGCTGAGGTCTGGCGTTTAAGAGTGAATCAGGCTCTGTCTGCAACAAGCTGTATGACTGAGGGCAGTGACCCCACCTCTCGGCTCAGTTTGTCTGCAAGGAGGATATAAACAGCACCTAGCTCATAAAGCGTGTAAGAATTGAATGAGTTAATTCATGCTAAGCATTTCGTGTGGCACCTGGCATGTGACAGGCACAAGACAGATGTTCTCTACCGTCTTCACTCTGTTTCGCCTTTGGGGAGGGTGGCACTTCCACGGTTGTCAACATGTTTCAGGAGGGTCTTCTTGCAGTTTCCATTCAGTCCAAATGCCTGAAAGGGAAGGAGGGAGTTCTCTCTCCCTGCCGCTAAGCTAGGGGTTGCCTGGGGAGTCACAGATCAAGTTGTGCCTCCTTAATGACATATTTTCCCTCAGACAAAGCAACCAGCCAGCTTCTGCTGGAGACAGACTGGGAGTCCATCCTGCAGATCTGCGACCTGATCCGCCAGGGGGACACGCAGTAAGTGGGGGGGGCCTGCACCCTTCAGCCTGGGGCCGCCGTGCGGTGCACTGGTGTTGCTTCGTGCCCACTGACCCTCCAGGGTTCAGCTGACCACGCTAGGCTCCCATGTGGAGAGGTGTGTGGTCTGCATGTTGGGATTTTTCTCCAAACAGCGTGGAGGTACCTGGTTACGTTAATGTTTGCTTGGGGGTTCTCAAAGACCAAGATGGGGGAAGACTTCTCATCTGAGCTGCTAAGACTGCTTGCTTTTTCCCGTGTTCTCTTTGCTCTTACCAATGCCAGTTCTCTTTCAGAGCAAAATATGCTGTGAATTCTATCAAGAAGAAAGTCAATGACAAGAACCCGCATGTAGCCTTGTATGCCTTGGAGGTAACTAGACCCCATACTGCAGTGGCCTCTGGCCTCCAGCCTCAAGGGTCCCCACCCCCCAGCAGTCAGGACAACACCAAGATGAGTAAGCCCCCTGGCTTTGCCCACTTTCCCAGGCATACAGCAGAAGAGTGCCTTCCCAGCTTTGGGCGCAGGCGTGAGCAGTGCTGCCTAGGAGCGGGGTCGCTCTGAGGGAGGGGCGGGGCAGGAGCGGCTGCTGCTCTTCCAGCCCGTAAGCCAGGAGCGAACTCCTGAAGACGGAGCTCATTGCTGTTCTTGGCTCGGAGGGGGCATGTGGAGTACTCAGAGCCGCCATTTGGGGTTCCCCGTAGGCTGGGTGGGCTGATGGGGCTGTCAGAGACCTGCCTTACAGGGAGGTGCATTTGTCCAGAAGGAGGCCCTGCCCTGGTCATTTGCCCAACCCTTCCCTTCCTTGGGGTCTGCAGGTCATGGAGTCTGTGGTGAAGAACTGTGGCCAGACGGTCCATGACGAGGTGGCCAACAAACAGACCATGGAGGAGCTGAAGGACCTGCTGAAGGTGGGCGCTCCTGGGAGCAGTGAGGTGGGGATGGGGGTGGGTGGTCACCCAGGCTGGCTCCTTTGCTTTTCGGGATGTTTATCGGCCACCTACTCGAGAACAGTGCTGGGTATGGCAGAGGACAGGAAGGTGGGTGCCGATAGCCCCTGCGCTGCACGAGCTCATGCTCGGGCCTGAGGAGAGTTGGGTGCGTGAGTCCCAATCTGGAGAGGGCATGGCTTTGACAGAAGCCGGCGGGGGTGCTGCGTCTGGGGCACGGAGGAGACACTCAGTCTTCTTGGGGGCTGGGAAGGCTTCCAGCAGGGAGGGCTCATAGCTGAATCTTGAAGGACAGGGGACGCTCACTGGGTGGGCAGAGCAGGTGGCAGAGGCTGCTGTGTGTGAGCAGAGGCCTGGGGGGAGGCCCAGAGCGTTGGGGCCAGGTCCTACAGACAAGGGCCTTGGAGGAATTGGAGTGGGGGACACGTCAATTCAGGTGTGTCTCAGGGACCTTTAGGAGGGAAGGTGGCAGAACAAGGAGCTGCCTGGGAGAGTATGGGCCTCACGCCCCCTTTGGCCGAGGAGGAAGAGCCCTCCAGATGTACAGAGATTGTCCCTGGGGCACCTGTAGGGATTGTGATGTGGGCGCTGATGCAGCCAGGGTAGTGGAAGGGCAGAGGTCAGCAGGCATCCCATGAGGTGAGGCTGCTCCCCCCGACCTGTGGGCTGGGCCTTGGTGTCATAGGAGACTATCCTGGACCCATGCTGCTGAGAGCCCAGCCTGGGGTCCCAGCTGACATGTGGGCCTCTCACAGGCCCTGACTGGTGACCTTGGCCAGTCTTCTGGCTGAAAGACGGAAGGTATTGGAGCCTGGCCCTTTTCTGCTGTGGGCACCCTTGTCTCGTGCCTGCTCAAATCCTCTGAGCTGGCCGACTCCTCTGTGGGCAGGAAAGGGACCCAGTAACGGACAAGGCAGATTGTGGAAATGAGCTTGAGCCCTGTTGTAAGAGGTGCTGTTGGTGTCTCCTTGAGGCAGCCTTTTGTCCCATGCTGTCCTCAGCATTGCGTATGGATGGCATCCCTGACAGAGCTCTAGACTGGAGGCTGGGCTGTGCCCTGACCTGGTGGTAGCTCGGGGATGTCTGCTCTGCATTTGGAGGCGTTTCCGGAGAGGGCTCCAGGCCGTGACTCGAAGGAGGGGTGGTGGCCCTGCAGCACTTCTGTGTCCTCAGCCCTGGCACGATGCTTCTGTGGTTGGGCCTGATTGGCTCTGCCTGGTGGAAGCTGGAGGGGCCTGTAGGGAGAGGGAGGAAGAGATGTATGTTTGTAGGTGGAGAGACTTAGTGTGGTCTGGCTCCAAGGGGCCTCCTGGTTTCTTGCAGGGTTTAGAGAAGAATCTTGACGCTGAGTGAGTGTAGACAGGCACGAGGGATCGAACTCAAGGGCCTGTGAATGGGTTGGTGCTTGGCTCCCACCCCCACACGTAGACTCCCCTGGCCTCGCCAGCCTCCTCTTTTCAGAGCCGTGGGGTCTTGCCAGCCACGCTGAGACCTCTCTTTGGCACCTTGAGTCTCCTGTGATCCTCACCTTCTCCGTCCTCTGCAGAGACAAGTGGAAGTAAATGTCCGGAACAAGATCCTGTACCTGATCCAGGCCTGGGCTCATGCCTTCCGGAACGAGCCCAAGTACAAGGTGGTCCAGGACACCTACCAGATCATGAAGGTGGAGGGTGAGTCAGGGCGGAGGTGAGGGGTCCATTCCGAGGCTCAGAACTGCTGGGCAGAGAGAAAGCCGGTGGGCACAGTGACATGGGGCTGGGGAGGTGTGGCTGGTCCTCGCTCAGTGGTGGTGGGAGTGGGGAGGGCGGCGTTCCAGGAGCCAGGGACAGCACGTGGAGGGAGGTCCAGCTCAGACATGCTCCTGCCTTTCCGGACCTCACAGCCCACAAGGCAGGGGCAGACGGTGACGGCAGACAGCCCCATTTCAGAGTGGCATGGCCCCGGTGGGGCTGGTTTAGGCTGAGCAGTCAGGGAAGGCCTCTCGAGGAGATGGCATGAGCAGATGGGCCAGCACCGCACTCGGAGCACGCTCAGAGGCCCTGGGGTTGGCGTGTCCGGGGGAGAGCGTGGGCTGGGCGCTCTCTGAAGCCTCTCGAGCTACGGGCTGGAGTTGAGCATTGCCCTGAGCCCAGCAGCAAGTCACGGGTGGGTTTTAGTCTAGTCGAGGCAGCGAGCTGTGTGTTGGGCCCCTTGTGTGTGTTCCTCCTGGCTGTTGAGGTGGCTGTGGAGAGCTGGTGGGGCGAGGAGAGGGACAGTGGGCTCAGGGTGTATGTGGAGGTCTTTGCTGGTGTTCGGGCCTGGACAGTGAACGAGCAGAGGCCCAGGGCTCCTCCTCTCCGTGCAGCTCCGCCGTGGCCTGGGCTCGGCCTGGAGTGTGGAGAATGGGCGGCGCTCTGGTGGGCCACATGTCCCTGCTGTGGGAGATGGGGACCTGCCCATGGCTGTGAGTGGGCAGGGCCGGTGTTCAGAACCCTGTGAGCTGCCTCAGGCCCTAAACCCCAGGGCGTCACGTGTGGAGGCTGTACACGCTCACGTCCACTCACCCAGGGAGCAGGTGCAAAGTTTTATGGGGTTTATAAAGGATCTGAGCCTCAAGGGAAGTGCAGGGCCCCTGTTCTCAGGAGCAAGGGCTCTGGCCGGAGAGCAGAGAGTGAGGGCCAGGCCGCTGGGGCTTCGGGAGGTATTGCGAGGGGGTGGGGCAAAGTCTTAGGAAAGAGGGTCATGAGGGCTGGCTGTCATCTGCCACAACACCGAGGACACAGGCCCTAGGGGGGCACCAGCCTGGGGTGAGGCTGCTCCTGAGACACCCTCACTCGGGGGCATGGTCACTCTGCTGTCTCAGAAGGCGCCTGCTGGCCCTGGGGCTCTGGTGTCCTTCTGTGGGTTGGTTGGGGAGGCGGGTGCCGGGAGTCGGGAAGGGGCTCCCCCAGGTCTCACGCAGCCTCTTTCTCCAGGACACGTCTTTCCGGAGTTCAAGGAAAGTGACGCCATGTTTGCTGCCGAGAGAGTGAGTGCTGTGGCCGGCTGGCTGCCGGGGCACCTTGGGTTGAGCTGTTCTGAGGAAGCAGGAGGGGAGCCCTGGGCGTCCAGCTTGTTCGGGGGCAGTGCGGGAGCGGTTTCCCTCGGAGTTTGGGACATCTGACGTTTCTTGAGCAGAAAGTGGGGCTGCGGCCGCAGGTTGAGGTGGACACACGGTTCTAGGTGCCTTTGGGCTGTGCCTAGTGGGTGCACATAGTTAAATATTTACACGTCCCCCAAGCTGTGGGAAGTCTAAACGTCACACCTCAGACGAGGAAGTCCTGTGATGGGCCCCTTCCTCAGGTCTGAAGCATTCGGGCTGCCAGGGAGGGCTGGGCCTGGCACGGCAAATCTCACCCGTGCCGGGGTCCCCTCTGGGTCTCGTTCCCATCTGTGGGACGGGGTGGGAGGCTCTGCCACCTTTGGAGCTTGGTGGCGGGGGATGGGCTGTGTGGTCCTGACTCTGCCTACCCCCAGGCCCCTGACTGGGTGGACGCCGAGGAATGCCACCGCTGCAGGGTGCAGTTTGGGGTGGTGACCCGCAAGGTGAGTGCCCTCCCTAGGGGGTTGGGGGGATCTGCTCTACAGCCCGGCCCCTGCCACCCTCACCCACAGCTGGACAGACACCAGGCCCCTGCTGTCACTGAGGCTGCTGCCCCCACTGCGCGGCCCTGCTCCTTTCTGGTGGTTCAGGAAGTGAGTCTTCCTCACACCCATGTGGTGACGTGACATCGGAATGTGGGATTCGGTGGCGGTAACGGTCAGCGCCCTCACCTTAAGTTGGCCTGATGGCACTGCCTTGGGCAGGGCCGGCCTCACTCCAGCAACTGGGATATTCCACACTTGGGCCAGGGTACTCGCCGGTCACTCTTGTGTGTTGCTATGGCCGAGTGGCCTGTTCCTTCAGGTGACTTGGCTCGTCTGGACTCTGACCCCTTGAGCCACTGTCCCGGTTCCCACCAGAGCACCTCAAGGCTGGTGTGGGTCCTGCGCGGGGTCTGAGCAGACTCACTGCGACCCACTGCACACTGAGAAGCTCATTTTTTCAGCAAAATTTGTGTATATTTTTCTTTGACTTTTCTTTTTAAGTTACCTTCTTTTCCCCGACACGGTGGCTGCAGTTGAGACTCCCAGACATGTGTCCAGGTTCCCCAGGGCCTTCGTGTCCCCCCAGGGGTCTCTTCCTTCCCCCACCCCACCCCCCGCTGAGAGTCCTGGGTTCAGCATTGTCTGGGGCAGTTCTGGGCTGGGCTCGGTGGGCACGGCAGGGTCACCCCCGGCGCCTGTGACAGGGCCTGCCCCTGCCTCATCTCAGCATCACTGCCGGGCGTGTGGGCAGATCTTCTGCGGGAAGTGCTCCTCCAAGTACTCCACCATCCCCAAGTTCGGCATCGAGAAGGAGGTGCGCGTGTGCGAGCCCTGCTACGAGCAGCTGAACAAGTGAGTCCTCTCCCGGGGTCTGGGCGCTCAGGAGGGCGGCATGCTCTCCACAAGGCCACCTTCCCGCCTCTCCTGGCCACAGCACTTGAGGCCTGCAGACCTGGGAAGGCCCCCAGCACATCGGCCAGAGAGGCTGAGGGGAGCCCAAGGCGGCTGTGCCTCCTCGCCCAGTGCCCCAAACTGCAGGGTGGCAGGTGGGTAAGGGGGGGGTGCTGCGACTCCAGGGGGACTCTGAGATTGCTCTTGGCAAGCCAGTTGCTTGGGCCTGTTTTTTGGTTTGGTTTGCATTTTAATTTTTGGGAATAAAGTTACAGAAAAGTTGCAAGAGTGTGAGCCGCATGCACGAGCCTTTGGCCAGCGGTTGGTGTTTGGGCACATTTGCGTGCTTCTCTCCCCACATCCGTGTGCGTGTCCCCGTGTATTTCGCGGTTCACATTCCATTGTGCCACAGTCCTAGTGGTGTCCCCTCTGGGGCTGTCCTGGTCTGGGTGCACATGTGTTGGGCTGCCGCCCTTCCTTAGCCTGCCACACCTGGACCGTGCTTTCGTGGTTTTTTTTTTTCATTTTTGAGTTTTTTATCAAGAGAAAGTGTGAAGGAAATGGAACGTGCTTACAGTCTGTCTTTTGTGACTTGGACACATCTGAAAAGTCCAGGCAATGGTGGTATGTCGCTTGTCTGAGGTTTTCTCACGCTTAGGTTCAGGTTCTCAGTCCTTGTGGGAGCCCCAGGTGTGAGGCTGTGTCCTCTGGGTATAGCCCAGCTGGAGTCTGGCTGTGCTGGTGACATGGGTGACAGGCTGCTCCCTGGAAAGTTCCTTTCCCTTTTTGTACTTAAGAGGAACTTGCTTTTTTGTTTTTGAGGCAGGGTTTCACTCTGCCACCCGGGCTGGAGCGCAGTGGTGTCATGACAGCTCACTGTAACCTTGAATTCCTGCGCTCAAGCGATTCCTGCCTCAGCGTCCCCAGCAGCTGGGACTACAGGCACCACCACGCCTGGCTCATTTATAAATTTTTTGTAGAGATAGGGTCTTGCTGTGTTGCCCAAGCTGGTCTCAAACTCCTGGCCTCAAGCGATCCTCCTACCTCCCAAAGTGCTGGGATCATAGGCGTGAGCCACCGTGCCTGGCCAATGAGAACTTGTTTTGAGCCACATAAATGCCTCATCCCCCTGAGCCATGCCCCACACGTTTCCCGCCCGTGGCCAATGCTTGTGCGAGTTGGTCGTGACTGGACAGTTCCATAACAGCATCTCCTGACCCCGGCGTTCCCTGTGCACGTGCTGTCGGCCTCCCTACCCACCCCCTGCCTCTGTCCTGCTTTAGCGAGAGCCCCAGCCTAGAGCTCCGCACAGTCGGCTGAAGTTCTGGCCCTGCTGGGAGCATGTGGGCCCAGGGGGCTGCCTGCTCTTTCCCCTCGGGGCTGTGGGGCTCTGCAGAGGCGACCTACATGGTCTCTGTGGAACTCTAGAAGACTCTGGCTCCACCGTCACGGAAGGCTTTGCTGCCCTTGCCAGTACCTCCTCGGGTGGGCCCCTCGGTGGCCACGTGGTGCGATTCTGTGGTCGGCGTTCCAGGTGTTTTAGGAAGGGCTTGCCTAGCACCCCGCAGTCTGGCCCAGTGGGCGCTTCAAATCTCCTTTTTCAGGAGAGGGACAGTGGCTTAGGCCCAGTGACTCACCCTGGGCCCTGTGGCCGATTTGAGGGTCCAGAGTCCCGTCCCACTACTCGCAGGAGCGTGGCCTGTGGAGCCCCTGTCGTTGCTCTGTGGGGATGGTCAGAGGGAATCGCTGGGTGGTGTGGCTGAGAACTTTGGCAGGGGCAGGCTGATGTCACCTGCAGCATCCCATTGTGCCTCCAGGAAAGCGGAAGGGAAGGCCACCTCTACCAGTGAGCTGCCCCCGGAGTACCTGACCAGCCCCCTGTCTCAGCAGTCCCAGGTACCCAAACCCCCAGCCCGTGGGTGCCTCTTCCTGGGGCCTTCCTCACCCACGCTCACCCAGCCCTGTTTCTCCTTAGCTGCCCCCCAAGAGGGATGAGACGGCTCTGCAGGAGGAGGAGGAGCTGCAGCTGGCCCTGGCCTTGTCGCAGTCAGAGGCTGAGGAGAAGGAGAGGCTGGTGAGCCTGGCGGGGGCCAGGCCTCGGAAGAGGAACTTCCCCAGAAGTGTTGCGGGGCAGAGGCTCTGGCCTTGTCCCGTGCTGTGTGCTCCCCTGTGACGCCCCTTCGCAATTCTGCTTTAGAGACAGAAGTCGACGTACCCTGTGTACCCCAAGGCAGACCCCACGCCCACAGCCTCATCAGCGCCGCCCGCCAGCAGCCTGTACTCGTCCCCTGTGGTGAGCCCCCGTCTGGCTCAACCTCCGTGGGCGGGGTGAGGGCAGGTGGGAGGACACGTCTCCTGGGCTGCCCCATTGTGTGGCTCCAGGCCCGTGGCTCTCAGCCCCCCCGGGACTGAGGACTGGGGAAAGGCTGGAGGGAGGCGTCTTGCCCGAGAGACCCGCCTCTTCCATGTCTTGCCCACCCCTCAGGCATTGAAGGACTCACTTTCTGGGGGATCTGCCTCAACCCCGCTCTGCAAAGTAGGGAGTGAGGACACAGCCTGTTTCATAGGTGGTGGTGTCAGGGACAGAAGTTTTGAAAATCATTTCCAAGTTCTGTAGGGCTCTGTGGAGTGGCCAGGCCACAGCTGGGCCCAAGAGCTCAGAACAGCCCTGCTACCCACTGGCCAAGCAGAGCCTCCCTCCCTGTCTGGATCTCATTTAGCAAAGTTAGGGGCTTCGTGGCATGCAGCGATGCCACGGGCCTTTCTCAGATCTTGAAACCGCGCCATCTAGAAGAGGGAGAAAGATGCCTGCTCAGATGCCAGCAACAAGAGGAGAGTGCGGGGCAAGGCAGGCGCCCAGGCAGAGGGCCGCAGCTTTGGCCAACTGTTACTGGTGCCACCTGAGTCCCTGCCCAAGGGACTGCTGGGCCAGGCCGCCGCTCCTTGGCCTGTGACCCCTCCGAACCTGCTGTCTCCCCAGAACTCGTCAGCACCTCTGGCTGAGGACATCGACCCCGAGGTAAGGGCCCCAGTGTGTGGTGCTGTCCTCTTGCTGCCTGTGGCCTTGGGAGTGACCCTACTTGTTGCTGTGCAGCTCGCGAGGTACCTGAACCGCAACTACTGGGAGAAGAAGCAGGAGGAGGCTCGGAAGAGCCCCACACCATCTGCGCCTGTGCCCCTGACAGACCCGGCTGCCCAGCCCTCGGAGGGGCACGCAGCCCCCACCAGCCTGGCAGAGGTGAGAGGACCACTCTCAGTGCTCCTAGACCACCGTCCCCCAGGAGGGGTGGCTGTAGGACAGGCCGAGGCCCCACTCGCCCTCTGGTCTCTTCCAGATGCCCCTTCCGGAGGCCGACTCTCAGCCTGTGGCTCCCCCCGGGGGCCCCTTCGGTGAGGTAAGCAGGGCTCCCTCTGCAGACGGGGAGAGCACGGTATCTTCGCCAGAGCGGCCCTCTGGCCAGAGGCCCTGCCGTGCCTGTCACAGTGGAACCCATCTAGCTGGGCTGTGGTCCAGGGCTTGGGCCACTCTCTGGACCAATGTAGATCCAGATGTTCCACATCGGCCGGACTGCCCGGATGAGTCCTCGGCCTTTCCTGGGGCTTCTGGGCTTTCCGGCTGTCAGAGGCAGAGACCAGGGCCTTGGAGAGGGAGGCAGGCCCCGCGTCACCAGGCAGGGGGGCTTTGGGCCAGCTCCGTCCCGGCCAGCACTGTGCCCGTGGATGAGAGCCCAGCCTCCGGGACCTTGGTTTCCTTGTTTGTGGAGCGGGAGTGCTCTGTGTCCCCCGGCGGAGCTGATGTGAGGAGCAGTGAGCTGCCCACCCCAGGCTCTGAGCACAGCCCACCGCCGGGGGCTGCGGAGGCTTGTCAGAGTGGTCCCCACCCGGGGAGGCCGGCCTGGCTGGGGGCCTGGCCACACTCAGCCAGCCTCCACTTGGTGTCCCCAGCAGCAGTACCAGAACGGAGAGTCGGAGGAGAGCCACGAGCAGTTCCTGAAGGCTCTGCAGAACGCCGTCACCACCTTTGTGAACCGCATGAAGAGCAACCACATGCGGGGACGCAGTATCACCAACGACTCGGCCGTGCTCTCGCTGTTCCAGTCCATCAACGGCATGCACCCGCAGCTGCTGGAGCTGCTCAACCAGCTGGACGAGCGCAGGCGTAGGTGCCACGTGTCCCCACAGGGCCCCAGCCCCGCGGGCAGTGGAGTTCTGCAGGTGCCCAGAGTGCGAGGCCCTGGCCCGCTGTAAGGGAGCCAGGCTCCTGTGGGTGCCTCGCTGAGGCCATGGGCTCCTGGGGAGGGTCTCAGCGGGAAGAGGTCCCTGTGATGGCCATGCCCTTCCAAGCCCAGGACCGTGTGCGCCTCCCCTAGAGCCCAAGGCCAGCAGTGCTCTCTAGAGAAGGCTGGGCACACGGAGGCCCAGTCGTTGCCCAGGGCAGGTGCCCAGCATGGGGCAGCCCGCCTGTGCGTCGTCCACACCAAGAGCTCCTTGGCACCCTGCTGGAGTGGTCAGCGCTGCTCTGCCCTCCGCCCGCAGTGCACTATGAGGGTCTGCAGGACAAGCTGGCACAGATCCGAGACGCCCGGGGGGCGCTGAGCGCTCTGCGCGAAGAGCACCGGGAGAAGCTCCGCCGTGCAGCCGAGGAGGCGGAGCGCCAGCGCCAGATCCAGCTGGCCCAGAAGCTGGAGATCATGCGACAGAAGAAGCAGGTGCAGTGGCCACACCGCCTGCAGGCTGGGGAGGGCACGGGAGGCACCGCTGGCTGACCGCCTTGTTCTGTGCAGGAGTACCTGGAGGTGCAGAGGCAGCTGGCCATCCAGCGCCTGCAGGAGCAGGAGAAGGAGCGGCAGCTGCGGCTGGAGCAGCACAAGCAGACCGTGCAGATGCGTGCCCAGATGCCTGCCTTCCCCCTGCCCTACGCCCAGGCACGAGCCGTCCCTCTCACCCTGCCCAGGGACTGCAGGGCTGAGGACTGGTGCTCACCACTGTCTCTCCTTTGTCCCCAGCTCCAGGCCATGCCTGCAGCCGGGGGTGTGCTCTACCAGCCCTCTGGCCCCACCAGCTTCCCCGGCACCTTCAGCCCGGCCGGCTCGGTGGAGGGTTCCCCCATGCACGGCGTGTACATGAGCCAGCCCACCCCTGCCACTGGCGCCTACCCCAGCATGCCCACTACCGCAGCAGGTAACATGGGCAGGGGCAGAGGGGCAGCACCAGCCAAGATGAGCCGCAGACCACTGCTGTTTAATTTTTATTTTAGCCTAATTTATAGAAAAGTTGTAAGAGTTTTCCAAATCCCCCAAACATGAACACTTCACATTTGCTTTTTCCTTTCTTTGTGTTCACATGTAAATGCACGCACGCACTTCCCTGCCTGAACTGCGCTAGAGTAAGTGGCACGTGAGGGCCTTTCCCCCTGGAAGCTTCAGTGAACATTTCCTAAAACCAGGAGGTGCCAGGGCTCTGCCTCCGCCGCAGACTGTCCCCGTCCCACTGGAGGAGATGCTTTTCTTCTATTTGTTATCATTTATATCAGTGTGACTCATGGCTCTAATTTCACTCAAAAGATCACACTCCGCCGGGCGCGGTGGCTCACACCTGTAATCCTAGCACTCTGGGAGGCCGAGGTGGGTGGATCGCTCAAGGTCAGGAGTTCGAGACCAGCCCGATCAAGAGCGAGACCCCGTCTCTACTAAAATTAGAAAGAAATTATCTGGACAGCTAAAAATATATATAGAAAAAATTAGCCAGGCATGGTGGCACATGCCTATAGTCCCAGCTACTCGGGAGGCTGAGGCGGGAGGATCGCTTGAGCCCAGGAGTTTGAGGTTGCTGTGAGCTAGGCTGACGCCACGGCACTCGCCACAGGCAAGAGTGAGACTCTGTCTCAAAAAAAAAAAAAAAAAGATTACAGTCCTTTACTATCGTTTTGATGCTCACATCGTCCCAGGTGTGGCCCGTGGGCGCCCTGCCCGCTGGCTCCTCTGCCTCTGACACAGGCTGGTGTCTCTTGGGTGCTTCTTACTTTCTGGCTGGGTGCTGTGTGCTCCTCCTGCACGTGCTCAGCCCTGGAACCAGCCATCTTTCCAAGGAGCCTGGTTCCTTCTAACAGAGGGTGGTGTTTAGAAGCCAGTATCTGGGTTCCAGGTGTGTTCATGTTTTCTGGTCCTTAGGGCTTGAAAATGCATATGTGCATACAAATACACGTGGGTACATGTATGTGCATGTGTGCACACACGTTTTCATCTGTCCACACATGGTAAGAACCATGAGTCCACTCTGACACCTCCAGTTGCAGTCCAGTAGCAGCTTCTTCCCTCACTGTACTCAGTATGTTTCGTCGTTCCTAGAGTAGCGCTAAGAAAGTAGTCTCAGGAATGCTGACTGGCATTTGCCACTCTTAGCTGGTTTAGTGTTTATCTGTAGCCTGAGGCCGTGGAGTCCAGAGTCTGAGTGGGGCTAGCTCTCCCGCCCCCTTCCGCAGGAACACATCACTCATTTGGAACACAGTTGGTTCATTTTTTCCAATTTCATCCCATTTTAGGATCCTCCTTCCATCCTTGTTAGTTTTTCTTTTTTGTGAATGTGAAACACGAACTTGGTTCCGAAAGTCACAACCAAAAGGAAAAGTCAGAGGAGGACGCCCTCTCCTCCCCATTACCTCACGTGCTGAACGATCTCGTCTGTCTTGTCTGGCACAGATCCCAGCATGGTGAGTGCCTACATGTACCCAGCAGGGGCTGCTGGGGCGCAGGCAGCCCCCCAGGCCCAGGCCGGGCCCACCGCCAGCCCTGCCTACTCATCCTACCAGCCCACTCCCACACCGGGCTACCAGGTACGTGGGCAAGGCCGCTCCCTTCTGCCCTGGCCAGCCCCCGCCCCAGCCGCTTTTCTCATCACACCTGTTCTCTCTGCAGAACGTGGCCTCCCAGGCCCCACAGAGCCTCCCAGCCATCTCTCAGCCTCCGCAGTCTGGCACCATGGGCTACATGGGGAGCCAGTCGGTCTCCATGGGCTACCAGCCTTACAACATGCAGGTAAGGAAACCTGGAGGCACTCCTGGGCCAGGAGAGGGGGCAGCCCCGCTCCCTCCCCCTTCTGGGCACCTCTGGTGGTCAGCTGTTGATCACTCTAACCCAGAAATGGCCCCACCTGTCTGGGCACAGAGCCGCCACCTCACATGGGGCTCCACTGTACCCCACAGAATCTCATGACCACCCTCCCGAGCCAGGATGCACCCCTGCCGCCCCCTCAGCCCTACGTCCCAGGGCAGCAGCCCGTGTATCAGCAGGTGAGCCGTCTGGGTGCCCCCACCATGGCACTGACCGAGCAGCCTCAGGCCTCGTGGTTATGGGTGGGCCTCCAACCCCAGTGGGCACCAGCTCACACGGGGAGACGTTTAAACCTGAGGCACCCTCTTCAGAAGACACAACTAGGGCATCAAAGTCTTTGTTTTTTATTCTTTTTGAGACAGGGTCTCACTCTGTTGCCCAGGCAGTCCTCAAACTCCTGGGCTCAAGTGATCCTCCTGCCTCAGCCTCTCAAGTAGCTGGGATTATAGGTGCATGCCACTGTGCCCACCTCGGTTATAGTCTTAAAAGCAGATAAGCATGCGCACACATGTCCACATCTGTAGATAGTAAAAACCAAGATTTATTTGGTCCATGGCTCCCACAGAGGCCATGGAGCCCCACTTAGTGGATGTTGATCACAAATGTGAAACAACTCCCTTGGGTCTGAATACAGGTTCTAGACAAACGTCTTCCCTGGGGGCGGTAAGACAGAGGCTCAGGCCTGGGAAGAGAACCAGTGGCCAAGCCTGTTTTCCTTCCACACAGATGGCGCCCCCCGGCAGCACCCCCCAGCAGCAGCCCCCTGTGGCCCAGCAGCCGTCTGTGCAGGGACCAGTGGCGCAGAGCAGCGAGGCCCAGCTCATCTCATTCGACTGACCCAGGCTGGGAGCCCACGTCCAGAGTAACACTAGGTCCACCCAAACCGCCTCCGTCTCTAACTAGCCGTCGTTCCCACCCCCTCTACCGCCCATAGCGTCCCTTCCCTGCAGGGGAGGGTGGGCCTCACCCTGAACCTCCTGCCTTTCTGTCCTCAGCCTGTTGCCGTCCCAGAGTTGGTGTCTGACTTCTTTCCCCAGGGCTGGGCCTCGGGGAGGGAAGGTGGGAGAAAAGGACCACCTCCAAGGGCGAGCTCCCAGCCGGTGTGTCAGGGTCTGCGAGGGGTGGCTGGAGTGGGACCCACTGCCCCAGCGCAGCCCGGGCTCTGGCCCCACTGCCAGCTGCCGTGCGGTGTCAGGCGCGGCCTCGGGCTTCTCCTGGCCCCTCCACAGCCAAGCGGGGAGGCCCCAGGCGTCTCTAGCTTCTCTGCTGTCATCTCCTCCAGCGCCCCAGAACGGAACCGTGATAATAAAAAGGATTTCAAGAAGCATCAGTGTTTGCTCAGAGAGGGCGGGGTTTCAGCATGAATTTGGGGGGGGAGGGGCGGGGAATCCCCCAGCTTTGAAAAGGGGGAGTCCAGCCTTGGTCACTCCGCAGCTCTGCCTTCTCCCTCCCGGAGACCAAGCGCCACGATCGCCCTGGGCGGCCCACGGCGAGGCTGAGGCTGAGGCTGCCTCGGAAGGGAGGCCGGCTCGGTGCCCGGTGCCCGGTGCCGAGGTCAGGGCGCCTCACGGCCCTCAACAGCCAACCTTCGGCGACCAGGGCGGAGGACGAAAGCCGGGGAGGCGGGCTTTCCCAAAAAGCCACCTGAGGGCTTGGGACTTGGGCTGAGACAGGGGACCGCGTCGTGGCCGGCACCAGCGGGGCGTGGAAAACGGGGACCGAACCAGGAGCGTCGAGTTCCCGACCCCCACGGCAGCGAGCGGGCGCGACTCCATAAGTGCTGGGAGCCGGGCTGCTGTCCTTCCCGATTGCGCCTGCGCGACGCGCCGCCTTATGGGTAATCTCGGGATGGGTAGAAACGAGTGCGAGAAGCGGCTAGAGCGCCCCTCTCCAATTCGAATGCCCAGCGGCCTTGGCAGCTAGAGCGTCCCTCCCCCAACTTGAATGCCTGGCGGCCGTGGTGACTAGAGCGTCCCTCCCCAACTCGAATGCGTGGCGGCTAGAGTGTCCCTCCGCAACTCGAATGCCCGGCGGCTGTGGCGGCTAGAGCGTCGCCTCCTTCTGGGGAGCCGCGTGTGACCTTCCAGCCGCGCACCGATGCTGCCGGCGGCTGCTCGCCCCCTGTGGGGGCCGTGTCTCGGGCTTCGGGGCGCCGCGCTCCGCCTCGCCAGGTACCGTGGGGCCCTCAGGAGCCAGGACGGCGGCTGGCAGGGTGGGAGCGGCCGGGCCCTGGGCGAGTCGGTCCGGAGACCGGTGGCGGGCCTGCCCGGTCGGAGGGTCCCGCCGGCCGCGTGGGGCGGGGGCCTCCTGGTGCGCACCCCCGTCCCGCGCGGACCGCGGAAAATGCGGGAGTCGGCCCCGCATGACCTTGGACGAGGCCCGTCCCTCTCCGGGCTGCAGTTTTCTCCGCAGCAGAGTCCCCTCGGTGCAGGCGGCGCTCTGCGGCCGCGGCCCCGCGCTTGGAAGGCTTTGCGATGCGAAGTGCGCCCAAGCGGTTACCGCGCTGGCTTGGCGTTTGGGGCGGTATTACTGCAAATGACCCCGTGGGTTTCTCAGGCTTATTGGGGAATCGTAGCTGAGGGCCCTTTCTCCTTGTGGACTCCTGGAGGTCTGAGAACCCTGCGCTGGGACCACGGAGCTAGGTCATTCCCAACCCTAGTGATACCGACCTGAGTTTATGGCATTCACCTGTCCCCTTGGCCTCTGCCCTGCCCCCCGGTCTCTGTGCACTCCCCTCCCCTCCAGGGCTGACGGCTCTGTTTGAATGGGGGGCTAGGCAACAGGTGCCAGGTGTCTGTGCGGTGCGACAGATGAGGAGCAGCGGCCATCGGAGGGGTGAGGCCCTGGCGGGTGCACCACTGGATAACGCCCCCAAAGAGTATCCCCCCAAAATCCAGCAGTTGGTCCAGGACATCGCCAGCCTCACGCTCCTGGAGATCTCGGACCTCAACGAACTCCTGAAGGTATCAAGAGAACGGCACAGATCAGGGACCGGGAGTGAGGCGTGGGGGCCGCTGTGTCTTCTTCCTGGTGTATTTTGGGAGTTTGGTAAACTGTCAAAAGCGTGCTTCCCCACTGCAAAGACCATAGCAGACTTGTCGTCGTCTGTTAGCACCTTTGGGCCGTAATGGCTGGTTACTGAAACCAACCTGTCTCTGCAGAAAACGTTGAAGATTCAGGATGTGGGACTCATGCCGATGGGTGGTGTGGTGCCTGGTGCTGTCCCCGCCGCAGCAGCCCCTGAGGTGAGCCAGGCCAGGGTCCTGGGCAGAAAGAGGCACTTCTGTGGTGCCCAGTTTACCTCTGGCCACACATGTGGCAGCCACATCCCTCTTGCTGGCCCTCATGCTGGATTCTGCAGCCTGCACTTCTGTGCGTGCTTCCCATGGTGCTCCCCTGCAGTCTCCAGGATCTCCCCCTACCGAGGATGCCGCGTGGAGACCACGTTTGTAATGGAGGGAAGCGAGCAAAAGAGGGGAAAAAAGGAAAAAATTATGTCAAATAGTTGAATTACATTAGACATCAGGAAAAAGGAAGGAAGGAGCTCAAGGCTGGGGGGGTGCATTTTCAAGGAAGGCCTCAGCGAGGAGGTAAGACTGGGGGAGTAGAGGAGCACAGCCAGGCGCCGCCTGAGGAGGACGTGGCTGGCACGAGGGCCTCCAGGCCAGCGTGTGTTTGGGGTTCCAGGTGGAGGCGGACGTGGACAAAGGGGAGGAGAGGACGTGGTGGGGGTGATGGGCAGCCCCGTGCTCTGGGCAGCTGGCAGCAGTTTGGGTCTCCGCGAGGAAACCAGCAGTCGCAAAGCCACGGCGTCACATCCCTGCCTTTGGCCGTGTCCCCTGCTGAGGGAGCCAGTGAGGTCCTGGAGGGTCCCGCATTCTAGAGGGAAGGTGCTCCCGTGGGGCGTCAACACTGTGCTCCGAGAACTAGAAAGTCACTTCCAAGGCTGATGAGATGCAGGCTGGACGTTCCGGGCGAGACTAGTAGGATTGCTGTCCCTTTGCGAGCGAGTGGGGTGCTGTTCGTAACCAGGCAGCGGGTCCAAACTGGCCTGTCCCGGGCTGCTCGGACACGGCTCCTTCTAGCTGGTGCTGTCAGGCACTGGCATGCCTGTCTGTCCCACTGTAGGTCACTTGTGAGCGTGGAGGCTCAAGTGGCTGTCAGTTTTTAATTGATACATTCGCTTGGGTTTGGCTGAGGACGGGAGTGGGCACTGCTTTTTTGTAACATTTTTTGTATAAATCAATTTTGATGTTTCTCCCTCTTGTAAGTTACAGTTTGTGAGGGATGAGGGAAGTAGAGTCTTGGGGAAAAGAAGGCAGGTTTACAAAGCGTGTCTGAGTAATAGAGCCAGGTTTGAACTCTGATTAGCCGAGGAGGGAGAAAAGGCACCAATTGGTTTGGAGACAGACTATCCGGGAAACCTGACCTCCAGCTCCCGGCTTCGCTGGGGCCGTCGGGAGCTGGGAATTCGCCTGGGCTTTGCCTGCACATCCCCTGGGCTCCAGGCTGGTGGCCCCGCAGCAAAGGTGTTGGCTTCACCCCACCCTTACCTGGCCTCCCGTTCTTTCTGCTCCCCAAGGCGGCAGAAGAAGATGTCCCCACGCAAAAAGAACGAACACATTTCACTGTCCGCCTGACAGAGGCCAAGCCCGTAGACAAAGTGAAGCTGATCAAGGAGATCAAGAACCACATCCAGGGCATAAACCTCGTCCAGGTGGGCGCTGCTCACGGCTCGGTGCTGGCCGCGCTGGGGTGTCTGGTTGCACCAGTCCAGGCCCAACGTTTCTGACTTTGTTTTCTGGCAGGCGAAGAAGCTGGTGGAGTCGCTGCCCCAGGAAATCAAAGCCAACGTCGCCAAAGCTGAGGCCGAGAAGATCAAGGCGGCCCTGGAAGCCGTGGGTGGCACCGTGGTTCTGGAGTAGCCTCCAGCTTGAGGACTTGTATTCAGGGTCCCTGGGACCCGGGCAGGGCCCCGCCCACCCATGTCACCCGCTCCACCCCCGGCACAAGGGAGTAGGGGAGTGAGAGCTGCTGGCACTGCGTGGCCAGGTCAGCCTGAGCGTGGCAGACGGACCTACAGGAGCAGGGACAGCTGCTGGCTGTGTGGGGCACCAGGAGAAGGGAGCGAGGACGCACGAGGAACAGCCTCTGGTGGCCGCTGAGAAAAATACAGTGTGCAGCTTACTGTGTGTGGAGTGCTGGCTGGGCTCTCTGGCGGGTACGGGGCCGGGGCGCGGCTTGTGCCTGGGAGGCTGCCCTGCTGAGGTCTGCAGACTTGTCTGAGCTCCTGGCTGGATAGCCCTGTCCTGCTCACAGGGGTGGGATCTGGGTATGAAACTTGGATTTAAATTATTGGCAGTTTTAAAGTCCCATGAGATGCAGCATTGGCCCAACAGACTGAGGTGGCCTTGGAGCCCGCAGTGCCGCCCCCAGCTCAGGCTGGTGGGGGTGGGTGGTTACCCCTGGACTAGGTTGGGGGGGTTGGGTGCACTTTGCACCCACAGGGCTGGGGCAGCAGCCACTCCTCAGGTCTGGGGGGCACTCTGGGACCTGGGCAGGGTGGCAGGATGGGCAGAGGGCAAGGGGACTGGAAGTGCTGGGTTCAGGCTTGGAGTGGTGGTCACCCCATGGCTGAGGCCTCCTGGTGCCTCTCTGAGCGTAGGTGGCTCTGCCGTCGGAGCGGCCAGAGTCAGCCAGGGCCTTGCCCTGAGGACCTCAGCCCCTTCCCTCGGGCAAGCCTGTTTGCAGCAGAGCTTGGGAGAGGGACAGCGCATCCGGCCTCAACTGACCCTTAACCTGAGGCCAACTCCCCGGGGGCTCCAGGCCAAGCCTGAGGGCGGGAGACTACAGGGCGTTTTGAGCACCCACTTGGGAGACATGCTGGGTTCAGAGAACCCGTTTGGGGGCACAGTTTCCCCTTCTGGCCTCAATTTCCCCGTTGGAATAACACTTTGGAGCTGCCCCTCTGAGGGGTTCCATGGGGCCAGGAGGGGGCGCTGCGTGTCCGCCGTGCTGCCCATGGGCTGGGGGCCCCTGGAGGAGAGGCTCAGAGCTGGCCTGGGCCCCTCCCAGGACCTCTTGCGGAGCGTCCCTGACTAACCTATGGCCTGGGAGAGGCTGTGCCCGACCTGGAAGTGCCCATTGGCCGCGGCACTTGGTCCTTCCTCAGGGTTAATGATTCTTCAGCCGCGGGTCTCAGGGAGCCTGCCGGTCAGGAGGGAACCCGCCGCCTGCCCCTGGGGCTGGGTGCGGCCTGGCTGGCCCCTGCTGAGCGCAGCCGCCCTTTCTCCTGGGAAGGCGGTGAGCGCCCTGAGCCCGGCCCAGTCCTGCGATGTTGTCTTCATCCAGGTTGACCGAAGGTCAGAGGGGCAGTTCCCGCCCCCAGGGGCCCCTTCCTGCCTACTCTAGTTCAGGCTTCTGCCAGGCCACTCACATAGGCCCCCCTGGCGGCTCGGTCCTCCCTGCTGGCAGCGCAAGGTGACGCCTGCTCGTCGAGGAGTGGGGTGCCAGGTCCTGACCCAGAGGCCTGGCCAGGCAGCGCCTGGGGCTCACGGCCAAGTCTTTACGGTGCGTTTGAGAATCTAGCTGGAGATCTTCGTGCGCCGCACCCCCATGGTTTTAAAGAGAAGCTCCCGGCCGAGGCAGTAGCTCACACCTGTAGTCCCGGCACTTTGGGAGAACGTGGTGGGAGGATCCACTGAGCCTGGGAGTTTGCGGCTGCAGCGAGCCACGACGGAGCCCCTGCACTCCAGCCCCTGCGACAGAGTGAGACCTGGTCTCACAATAGATACATAGATAAAAGGAGGCCCCAGGCTTGGGTACATTTGCTGTTTTCCACGACTCCTCCCTTTGCTGCCTGCTTTCACGGCTGTCCAGCTCTCGCGGGCTCTTCCTTTCTGTTTTTTCAAGTGTCCCTTCAGTTGCCCTCCTTAGCCTTCTGTGGGGAGGGGGCCTCCTCCTGTGGGTGAAGGTCGCCTGCCGGCAGGTGGCTTAAGTGAACGAGCCCATTGCAACCCCCCAGACTGACCCCCTCCTTCCCGGACTGTCACACAGGGGACATTGTGGCCCTCCAGGTGCAGCTTCCCCTGAGGTTTCTGTCACCTCCACCTCGATGGGATGACTTGGCAGCATCTTGGTTCACACTGAAAGACTCAGGCCGTGGTGGCTGCAGCCCAGTGGGCCTGATGGCCCTGGACGGGGAGGCCGCTCCACTCGCTTGGCAATTTCCAAGGAGACGAGGCTCTCCTGACTGTTAAATCTGTCAGCTCTGGGTTTTGAAAGAGCACGTGATCTCTGTGTTCCCTGTTGCTCCCCAGCCCAGGCTTGGCGCGGGTTTATCCCACACTCCAGTTTCCTCCTGAGAATCCCTGCGACCCTCTTCCCCACTGTGCGTGGCTGTGTTTTCGTCCCCAGTGTCCACCTGGCACCTGGCTCCGTCTCCAGGGGTCTTCTGGGCTGGGCTCCGTCTCCGCAGCAGCCGTTCGCTGCCCCAGCAAAGGCCTTCGGCCGACGACAAAAGGGTCAGGAGCCACCTGTGGCCCCAGAGGACGCGCAGGCCAGGACAGAAGCTCCTCTGCTTGCTGTGGGGTTGCATCCCGATCCCTCCGTTGTGAAGAGGAAAAATTGTAAGTTGGGCCATCGTAAGTGGGGACCTCTGCACGCGGTCTTCTGCCTCTGACGCTGGAGGGAACCTGCCCGTGAGCACCTGGGGACTCCGGCTGTGCCAGAGGCACAGGCTGTGTTAACTACAAGAAATTAATGAGGTTTATACCTTGGGCAAAGGAGAGCTTTCCTGCTCAGACAGGCAGCAGCCTGTGGACGGCCACGCCAGCACGCTGCGGGCAGAGCCCCGGCCGGCAGCCAGGCACTCGAGCTTCAAAGGACAGACAAAAGTGGGGGGCGTTAAATATACGATTCCGACAAGCTACAGAGGGAGTCGTGAGCACTTCCGAAGGAAAATCATGCACTTGCAGTTGGGCTTCGTATCTCTCCCTACCTGGCCTGGCTGGGAACTCAGTTTTAAGGTGTTTCTGGGATCCCCTCAGCCAAGAGGGGCTCATTCAGTTAGCAGAGGGCTCAGGATTTTTAGTTCACGGGTGCAAGCCTCGAGGTGCACAAACCCAATATTGGGTCTTGGCGGGTTCTGGGGACCAGGAGCCGTTTTCCAGTGCCCTTCCCAGGGCGAAGGGTGACGGTGGGTGGGATGGCAGTGGCCCGGCCGAAGCTGCAGGACGTAGGCGCCTCATCCCTGTGGCCCAGCCCTAACGTGGCCTTGGAGCCCTGGATCTGTCTGCCCAGCACCCTTGGACAGAAGCACACGAGCACTTCCTCAGTCTTTGCTGGAAGCGGGATCAGAGTGGGACCAGACGCAGGTGCCCCTCCTGCTGCCAGGCCAACGTGGGGCCACCTCCTGAACCTGAGCCGCAGCCACCCTGAGGCTTTCAAAGCCCAGACCCCGGCCCCAGAGTGGCTGCCTGGCGCCTCGGGCCTGAGCCCAGCTGAGCTGGACTTGCCTGGGAGCTCCCTGGAGTCTGTATGCATACGTGTGTGTGCATGTGTGCGTGCATGTATGTATGTGTGTGGTGTGTATGCATGTGTGCAGTATGTATGCATGTGTGTGCACGGTGTGTATGCGTGTGTGGTGTGTATGCGTGTCTGCGCGGGGTGTATGCACCTGTGTGCACGCGTGTGTGGGGAGGTGCGGCCAGTCTTCCCTAACTGCCTTTTGCCCGGGTTTTCATCTAATCGGCGGGCGGCCCCAGGAGGTTTTCCAGTGCCCTCGGGGACGGGGGTCGTGTGGAGGCTGCCGACGCGTGGACTCGGGGGGAGCGGGAGGACGGGGCCCGCAGCCCCGGGCGCGCGGCCCAGGCCGGGCCCGCCCCTCGGCTCCCGCGGAGCTCCAGGGCGCAGGCCCGGCGCCGTGGGGCGTGGTCTCGAGCCCCGCCCCGGGCCGCGCGGACGCTCGGGCGGTGAGGACGCGGGCGCGTGGCGGAGCTTTGAACCGGAGCGGGCGCTGCGGGCCGGGCAGGGGTCGGGCCGGGGTCCTCCGTGCAATGGCGGCCGAGGCGCGCGTGTCGCGCTGGTACTTCGGGGGCCTGGCCTCCTGCGGGGCCGCCTGCTGCACGCACCCGCTGGACCTGCTCAAGGTGAGGCCGGCCCGGGCCCGCGGCCGCAGGCGTGGGGCGGGCGTGGGCGGGTGACGCTGGGCGGCGGCTAGAGGAGGGGGCATGGGGCAGGGCGTGGGGCAAGGGCGAGGGGAGGGGACGGGG